TTCCTCAGCGTGGACTCCATCACTCATCACGCACACGTCTTTCCCCTCGCTGTGCTTGCCTAGAAACCCAACCCCAGTCCCACGCTGCGGGCTCTCTGCCTGCACCTTGCAGGTGGGTCTTTAAATGCGTGACCTCTGCCCTGTCCGGGTGGCTCAGTGGGTGGGAGCATCGTACCATTCACCGAAAGGTGGTGGGCACCTACCCAGTCCAGTCAGGGCACATACCCAGGTTGTGGGTTTGATTTCTGGTTGGGTCGCAAATGGGAGGCATCGATGGGTGTTTCTCATATCGATGTTTCTCTCTCTCTCCTCCTCCCTCCTGCCTTCCCTCCTTTCCTTTCTTTTTAAAATCAATAAACATATCTTCATGTGAGGATTTAAAATAATAAATTCATGACCTCTGACCTCAAGGAAGCCCTTAAGCCTTTCAGCTCAGCTCCCTTTTCCTGGCTTGTGGCTTCGCCGCAGCTGCCTCCACCTCCCTTCTCTTCTCCTGAGGCTTCCACCTCCCTCGCTGCCCCCTAGGAAGACCCAGTGGTTGGGCTGTTACTCTCATCTGTCTCCACTGCTTCTGTGTCAGCTGCTGCTCATCGTGGCTGACGTGGCCTCTGACAGCTTCCTGTTCGCGTTGGGTCTCTGGTCTCGAACCCTTTCCTCTGCCTCCTGCCCGAGCGGGAGTCTCTCACGTCCACTGAGGGTGTGAGGGACCCGCCGCAGCGCAGCTCGGGCCTGACGCTTTGTGTCGCTACTGTTCGCTGCATGGACAGGACCGTGGAGAAGCCGTCTAACTAGAACATTCATTCAGGGATTTCAGTTCACTTTTTAATGCTCTTCTTCTGCTTTATAATTTATTTTAGATTCTTTAGCATTCAAAACTCCTAACTCTAAAACACACAAACGGACCCCACGCATGGTTCCTGTGGCCCAGGCTAGTTTGACCTTCATAAAACGCTTGAAAACAGGCAAGTGTCTTTGGTCTTCACAGTCCTGGGAATGAGCAGGAAGTGTGTTTCCAGTGGGAACGGATTGAACAATGTGTTTGTTGAACGAAAGCCTCGAAGACCCGGGAAAGTGTGTGTATTCAGTAACAATGAGGGTGTTTTCTCAGACTCATGAACCAGCTCCTGGGACGCGGGGTTGTTAAGTCAGCAGGGGCTGCCTCGCTCTCCCTTTGTACTTGGATTGCGTTTCGTACCTCAGGGCTCCCCACTTCTCCAGCGAGCAGCGGAGAGAAACCCTTATTCCATGTCCTCGGGCACCTTTGCAGTCAAGATGCTCTGTTGCTATGTGTCCTGTAACGATGTAAAGGAAAAGGTCTCATGTCCTGACCCCCTTGTGCCCTCAGACATCCCTAGGCACCCGATGCCATTCGCCGCGAAGAACATGTTCTATGACGAGCGCTGGAAGGAGAAGCAGCAGCAGGGCCTCACGTGGTGGCTGAACTTCATCCTGACGCCCGACGACTTCGCCGTTAAGACACACGTCTCGGAAGGTAAGCGCTGAGTCCTAGCGTCAGTGAAACAGCACCCTGTTCCCACGGATGGGGTCCGCCACGACGTTTGCCTTTTTAATGGCACATGTTTTATTATAGTAATGGCATGCTCCAGGCATTTATTATAGTAATGGCATGCTCCAGTCATTTATCGACAGAAACGCTGAAGATTGTGTCAGGGAGAGCTTTTAGGGAATTCTGGATGGAAGGTACCGAACTTGACGTTTTCGTCTCACTTTTCATTCTTACACACGAGCCAGTGCAATTAGCAGGTGGGTTATTCTAATGCCGTCAGTCAGGTCCAGGGAGCCGCGGCCACTCAGAGCCGTCCGCAGGCAGGAATCCATCTGCAGGATTTTGACATCGAAGGACTTGGGTTAGATGGTCTCCAAGGGAACAGAGCCTGTTATGTTCGTTCCCCTCTGGAGAGAAGTGTGTTGGATAAAAATGCAAATCGCATTTCAAAATGGAATTGATTTAAAAACCCGCACTCCCTAGGAGCATGTCTGTAATTTACAAAGAGGATGGAGGCAGAGAAACCAGCAAGGAGGCTCTCCCCTGGTCTGAGTTCGAGAAGAGAGTGTTTGAAGTGGGTGGTGCTGGTGGCGGTTGGGAGGCGTGGCTAGGCTTGCGGTGGGACCAACAGGTCGCAGTGGTAGATGGGCCTCCGGGCGGGCCGAGTGAACGGCCACACCTTTGTTTTGAGATGGAAGAGAGGAGAGCGCGTGGAAGGGCGGCCATGACTGTGGGCGACGGTGGGTGACTGCGTTCACTGCTGGATGCGAGGGTGCGTGTGCCTCTCCTTGACCAGGCCCTTCTCTCTCCCTCCCTCCCTCCCAGTGAATGCCGCCTCTCTCCTCCTGGGCGGGGAGAGCCACCACAAGCTGAGCGTGCCCAGAGCCCCCACCAAGGAGGAGGTGTCGCTCCGGGCTTACACGGCCCGGCGCCGGCTGAACCACTTGCGTCACGCAGCCTGTCGCCTGTTTACTTCCGAGAGCATGGTGAAGGCCATTAAGAAGCTCGAGGTGGAAATCGCAGCCCGGCGGTTAGCTGTCCGGAGAGACAGGCACCTCTGGAAGGACGTGGGTACGCGGTGACGCAGCCTGCGGGCTCCTCCTTTGAACAGAGGCTTCGTGGTGTCAGAGTGACACTCATGCGTGACTGGCTTTGCTGCCTGCATCTCGCATGTTCAGATGCCGTCATGTGTATTTGAGTGGAAGTTCGTTTATTTAAAGGAACTTCACTGACGTGGCTGCCCTTCCTCCCGCTGGTTCCTCCGCGCAGGCGGGTGACTGGTCTGAGCCGCGCTGTTTGCTTGCGTTTCAGGAGAGCGGCAGAAAGTCCTCAGCTGGCTGCTGTCCTACAACCCCCTGTGGCTGCGCATTGGTCTGGAGGTGAGGACCCCCTGCGGCTGCGCAAAAAGACTGCACTTTAGGAACGTGCTTTTAGGAGGCTTTTAAAATACAATAGGGTTTCACTTATGAAAGCATTTCGTTAGCTTTTTCTTCCCGTTTAAAATGTAAGTGCTCCTGAGGTAGGGGACCATGCCAATGCAGATCATCGCCACTTAGTTTTATAGTCACTTTATTGTTAGTTTCTGAAACATGTATAATGCGGTGCTAGATAGAATGACAAGTAGAGCAAGCTCCTTTTTGACAAAACTAGGCTGTTTAAGTCCATTTTCTAATTGAAACCTGGTAACACCATTGAGGTCTGTGCTGCTGTTTCCCCTTCTCTGATGACCCAGAGCGTTGGTGTGCCGTGACCTGAGTGCCAGCACTGGCCGGGCTGTGCCCTTCCCCGTCTGAGGCAGCGCAACCATTCTGAACACCGGGCGTAAAATGGCATCAGAACTTGAGGTTTTCCCGTCGTTCAAGGCTCAGTCGTGTTGAGAATGTTAAAGCCCGTTGAGTTATACGAGTCGCACAGTGTGCAGAGGTGGCTCGGCAGCTACGGGCCCCGTCCCTTCTCCTGCGGAGGGAAAGCATGGCGGCCTGAGAGCGAAGGTCGTCGTCCGCCTTCCCACCACACCCCTTTGCCTCCCAGAGGTGCCAGTCCTGACTGTGGCTCTGATTCCCTCCCAGACAGTGTTTGGGGAGCTCATCGCGTTGGAAGACAACAGTGACGTCACTGGCTTGGCTGTGTTCATTCTGCACCGCCTGCTGTGGAACCCGGACATCGCCGCTGAGTACCGGCACCCCTCCGTCCCCCATCTGTACCGAGACGGTGAGCAGTTCTGCCTCCACCGCCTTCTCTCCGTCCAGCCGTCCAGCCGAGCGTAGAGATGGCTGCGTCTCGCTCTTCCTGCCTCTGAAGTCACCTGCGGGGGAGACAGCATCAATAGGGCCCTCTTCCCACCCCACCCCCACATTCCCCGCATTTCCTCCCCCGTAGTTCCTTCTGCCTTTCTGCTGTCTCCCCCCCCACACCCCGGGCTGTAGCCTGTGGAGGTCGTATCTGCTTGAGTGTCTGTTGTACGCATGGCCCCTGGGCTGGTGCTGGGTGGCATAGTGCTCGTTAGGATTCGTGGAGGGAGGTGGACTAACGTATTTGGTGCCTCTGCGCCTCTCCCCCTCGCGCCTGCGTTGGAAATGCTCCCTGTTCCTGCCCCTGGTGTGAGTCGGTGCGCCCAGTGCGTCCGTCGCGTTTCATGCCGACTTCCTGTCACTCTTACACGTCGTCAGCATCACGGTCACGGGGAACGGGTCCGGCCCAGGCTCACCTGCTCGCTTGCTGTGCCGCCCTTTAGGCCACGAGGAAGCCCTGTCTGCCTTCACCCTGAAGAAGCTGCTGCTGCTGGTTTGCTTCCTGGATCGCGCGAAGCTCTCGCGGCTCATCGACCACGACCCCTGTCTCTTCTGCAAGGACGCGGAGTTCAAGGTGCGGCTTCCGTCTTGTCTGTGGCTGCACAGCCCCCCTGAGGCTCGGGCTGGCCCTGGCCACGCGTTTTCTCTACAAAGCGAGTTTCTCGAGGAGCGGGGCGGGGGTGGGGGGCAGAGGCGTGCCCAGCGTGTCCTCCCAGCGGCTCCCCTCCGTTTGAGAGTTGACTGAGCCGCCAGCCCTGCTCTAACCTGGAGGTGAGCCGACGGGGCTGCCCAGGCCTCTGCTGTGGGAAGGTCTTTCCTAGCGGGCGCATAGCCAACCACGGCTCGTTCTTAGAGAGAGTTATTAATTGGAGCGAATGTTTGAAGGCTACCATGTTTGAATGGTGGAGAGAGTGGAGTCTGATGCCTGCGCTGGCTCCCCACAGGCTAGCAGAGATGTCCTGCTGGCGTTCTCGCGAGGCTTCCTCAGCGGGGAAGGCGACCTGTCGCGCCACCTGAGCTGGCTGGGGTTGCCCGTCAGCCACGTCCAGACGCCCCTGGACGAGTTTGACTTTGCCGTCACGAACCTTGCTGTGGACTTGCAGTGCGGGGTGCGCCTCGTGTGAGTATAAGACACAGAATCGGGCTACTTAGGAATGGGCTGAAATGTTCTAAAAGCACTGTTTCCTGTGGTTGCACAATCTTCATTGCTTTTTCATGTTTGGAAATGAATTTAGGTTAAAAAATGGGAATAAGTATCTGCAACACTTTTGGGAAAATGGGGTCAGTTTTAGGCCCAGACACCACCTCCTGTCCACAGTGTTTCTGAGAGGAGGAACCACCGGTGCCTAGAACAGGGGTGGGGAGGTGTCAGACGTCGGGGTAAGTGTCTGCAGTGGTCGCACGAGTCCGACAGCATTCGAGACCCGTGTTAGCACCGCCCTCACTCCACACGAGGAGAAGTAGGACGAGGAAGGAAACTGGCCTGCCCGCTTTTACACTGGAATTGGAGTACAACTCGGGTCTGGCGTCAAATCGCACGATCGTTCCTCCGTATCAAACTGGAAGCCTCAGAATCGGCTGTGAGCACCCAGTTCCTGCGGGGAAGGCGGGCGTGGCCTACTGGAGCGACAGAGTTTCAGGAGAATGTTTTAGAGTCTTTCTAACCCAGAACTCTCTAACTTGGGGGAGGGAGGGTTATGCGGGTGGTAACCATATTTAAATGAGGCTTTTTCCCCTTACCTTTTCATATCACACTCTCATCTGAAAACCCCTCCCGTTTGGTAGGCGAACCATGGAGCTGCTCACACGGAACTGGGACCTCTCGAAGCAGCTCCGCATCCCTGCCATCAGCCGTCTCCAGAAGATGCACAATGTTGACCTTGCTCTGCAGGCCCTGCAGTCCCGCGGGATCTCGTTACAGGACGAGCAGGGTGAGCCCGAGAGCAGGGGGAGCCCGGGAGCAGCGGGAGCCCGAGAGCAGGGGGAGCCTGAGAGCAGGGGGAGCCCGGGAGCAGGGGGAGCCCGAGCGGCTGCTCCCCGAGGGCCCTGGCCCCACGCGGTGCTAACGGCTGTCTCACCTGCAGGAGGCGCGATCCTGGCCAAGGACATTGTGGACAGGCACCGGGAGAAAACCCTCGCGCTGCTGTGGAAAATAGCTCTGGCGTTCCAGGTAGCGTGTCTTCCCATCAACTAGACCGACAGTGGGAACTGTGACTTCCAGCTGCTCTGCTGTCCCAGGAACGGGGCTAACCTCACAGCACCCCACCCTCGACCTCACCCCTAGGAGAAGGAACCGAAGGGAGAGGCACATCCGGGGTGGGAAGTGGACACGAGCTTGGGACCCAGGCTGGTGTGGCCCGAAACCCCGTGGACGGAACCCCCGCCCTTTCCATCGCCTCCGTGCGGACATGCTGGTCTTTAGCTTCTGTGGGTGAGAGTGATACCCTATCGAAAGGCGTGTTATCTTCTTACAGGACTGAGGTAGTTATTTTCTCTTACGTTTCAGGTGGACATTTCTCTTAATTTAGATGAGTTAAAAGAAGAAATCGACTTCTTGAAGCGCACGTGGAGGGTGAAGAGAAGCACGCCTGCGCGCTCCCGCCCTGCGGACGCTGTTCTCAGTGAGAAGACGGACACGAGGCCGAGCGACTCCTCGGAGCAGCGTCCCGAAAGCATCAGGCTGTTGATGGAGTGGGTGCAGGCCGTCTGTGCCTTCTACAGCGTCAAGGTAGGTCCTTCCTCTTGTGTAGCCCATGTCTTCAAGTCAGTCTTGCTGAGGATTAAAAAGAAAGGAAACGTGCTTCTCTCCAAAGGCAGTTGACCCCTTTCTGGCTCGCCCCCCCCCACCCCCCCCCAGGTGGAGAACTTCACGGTGTCCTTCTCGGATGGCCGCGTGCTGTGCTACCTGATCCACCACTATCACCCCCGCTGTGTGCCGCTGGACGCCATTCGCCAGCGGACCTCGCAGACCGTGGAGTGCGCGCAGTCGGGCTCCGTGGTCCTCAATTCCTCTTCCGAGTCGGATGAGAGCTGCCTGGACCTGTCCCTGAAAGCCCTCGAGCTGGGTCAGTGCCGGCGGTCGGTGGGCATGGCGCGCGCTGGCAGTGCCAGCCCTGCCCGTTGGCAGAGCCGTCTCATCGCTGTCTTCTCGCAGCAGGGAAAGCCCCCGAGCTGCACCGGGAGCTCCTGGAAAACGAGAGGAGGAACTTCCAGCTGGTGAGCTCTGCGGCCAGGGACCTCGGCGGGATCCCTGCTATGGTGCAGCACGCGGACATGTCAAACACGATTCCGGACGAGAAGGTGCGGGAGGAGGAGCCTCTTCCCCGGGGACCGGGAGGAAACGCCCGGAGACGGGCCGAGGGGCCTGCCGCTGTCCGCCTCCATCTCGCGCTTCCTCCTAGGTGGTCGTCACCTACCTGTCGTTCCTTTGCGCGCGGCTGCTGGACCTCCGCAGGGAAACTCGGGCTGCGCGGCGCATCCAGGCGGCGTGGAGAGAGTACAAGCTGAGGGCAGACCTGCGGCGCCATCAGGTACAGGGAGTTCTGATGCTCGAGTGCAGGGAGCTGGGGATGGCTCTTCTGTCTAACTCCCGGTTTCCTGTATTCGATGTGCCTTCCCGCCTGCCCGCCCTGCCTCCCTCGGCTGCAGGGTCCGTGGAGTAACGTACCCGACGCGTAAATGTGTGGGAAATGGACGGGATGCCTGACGGGCCCCGCCCTCCCTCCTCTGGACTCTCCCCAGCCTCCAGGGAGCAGGCGTGTCTGGTGCTGGGGGTCAGGGCTGGGGCTGGGGCTCAGGGAGCCGCTCATTTTGTCTGCGAAGCTCCCCAGTTGGTCTTTTGTTATTAAAGGGAGCATTTCGGTTTCCATGGTTTTATTTCTCAGAATGTTTAGGACCTAGGGGGTGGGGATGTTAGTTCTTATTTCCCTTGTGGCCCCAAAAGGACAAAAAGTTGCAGGAACATAAAGAATTTTCCTGAGTTTGGAACCGTGTGTAGCCTCTGCCTGGGTGTCCCGTCATCAGGCAGGGCCGGTCCGGCCGCCGTGGCAGGGACTCTGGGCGGCTCTGGCAGCGCCTCTCCCACTGGTGCTTGTTCTCGGCACCCCGGGGCTTGCCGCCGCCTGTGCTCTGTGCTAAGGGGGTCATTTCCTCTCCCTTTCTGTGAACTCTTTTGTTCAAATTGTAACCAAGCAACCTGGCCTTATTCTGTAGAGCATCTTTATTTTAGGGTCTTTCCTCCTTTTTCCCCCCCATACGATGCACCCCTGTTTTGAAAATTAAGCATGAATTTACTGGACCACAATCTGAGAGCCACCATGTTTAAGTGCCTTTACAGTGATGACTGACGATCTGTGATGCATCAAGCATGTCTGTGGTCTTTCTCCTACGATATCCCTCGGAGTCTTAGCTTCATCACGTAACCGTAGCTGCACGTCCACCTCTCGGCCACTTCTCGGTGCCCAGGGTGCCCGTTCTCCAACTCCGACTACGAGCGTGTCCCACGCAAGTGTGGGGGTGTTTGATTTCCAGGACGAATGGATTAATATTTAACAAATGATTTTCTTACAAATAATAACTTAGGGTCTCCAGTGATTGTTTAATTAATGCTTTGTTCTAAGGAGAGAGACCAGGCTGCAAGAATCATCCAGGCGGCTGTGCTGGGCTTCCTCACCAGACGGCGGCTGCGGAAGGAGGCTCAGGCCGCGCTGGCCGTTCAGAGGCGCTGGCGAAGACTCTGCCGGCGGAGGGCGGTCCTGAGGGCGCAGCAGGAGCAGCTGGAGAAGGCGCAGAGCCAGGCGGCATCGGTGATTCAGGTAGAGCATCCTGGCGCTTTGGAATTTGGGAAGTTTCAGTGACTTTTAAAGGAGGAAAGTGAAATACGACCAACTTTTAAATAGTTGTCGTTTAGACTTCTACATCTTATCTGGTATTAACTTCAGCACATATTTTGGGAGCATTTGAGATCTTGCTTCCTGACATGTGTCATCCGTTCGCCGCAAACTCTTACAAAAATTAAAAAACCCGACGCGATTGTTGCGTGCCTTCCCGCCACCTGTGAGCGGCTGTGTGCAGCCGCAGACACAGACGGGGCGATGCCCACTCTCCTCACAGGGGCACTCAGGCTGCCTGTCGCCTCTGCTGTGTCTTCTTCCTGGAGGTTTTCAGGCCTCCCCTCGGCCATGCTGGGCTGTGGCCCGGTCATTCCACTCTACGCCCACTGCATGGATGTGTCACATTTTGATTCTGTATTAATCTGTTGAAGAACATTTGCATTGTTCCCAGTTTTAGGTAATTTCATTAGGATTGAGACAAGGATTTGCGAGTTGGCTATAGCTGTATCAATGTAGAAACCAAAATACACACGAAAGAGACAAGTATCTTTTTCAAAAATGTATTGTGTGTTAATTTAACGTGCTCATTTTTAAGCAGTATGTTTGAAAAATTAATCCATTCGAATGTGTCGAGTACAGAAGTGACGTCCCTTACTCTGTCCTTCCTTACCTCCTGCAGAGAAATTGGAGAAGGTATTCCGCTAGGAAGCAGTTTCTGAGATTGAGACATTATTCCGTCGTCCTGCAGTCTCGGAGAAGAATGGTGGCTGCCGTCGCTTCTTACAAACGCCACCTGTGGGCCGCAGTGACCATCCAGAGGCACTGGCGAGCGTGTGTGAGGCGGAAACAGGACCAGCAGAGCTACCGGGCGCTCCGAGCCTCGTGCCTGGTCATCCAGGCTGCCTTCCGGAGGTGGCGGCGCCGGGAGCAG